GGGTGAACCAGGATGCATCATTAAATACTGTTATGTGGATACAGTGAAAAGGCCACAGTCTGCTTCACTCATCATTTCAACACAAAATTCATTAAAAATAAACAAAAAAAAAACCAGACGTCACTCTGGCTGAACTCCCTTATTCATTTGGAAAATATAATCTTGCAGAAATACCTCTGTAGTCTGCAACAGGAATAAGGAATACAAGGAAAATCAGATGATACCATCTCATGCGTTAATTATAGATAACCAAATAAATCAATAAATAATTAGGACAAGTACAAACCAAATCGACAGCAAAATCAAAACAAATCCAAATATTGTATTCCTTTAACCAACTCCATTTTAAATTAAAATGACATCCTTACTCGCACATAAGCCATAACCTAGCTCAAACATATTGAAGGCAACGTGTATGTAATACTGGGTTTAAGCAGACAGCACGCGTCTGTCTGCTAAATCGATAAGGCATTCAGAAAACCGATGTTAGCTTGGCAAATACTGATGATTGATCTCACGCTACCTGCTTGTTTTTCCAAGGATGCTATAGTTGAGAGGAAGTGACGCGTGGTCAAGTGTTAAGAAGTGTAGCTTTAAGCAGACTGGGTTATGCAGCGATCCGTTTATTTTTGCTGTGTTATAACATCTGAGGGACTCATTTGTGAACATTCATCCATTCAACATCACCGCTGCTTTGGTATTTGCAGGTCAGGAGAAACACACTTTTCAAACTGGGCTCAGTTTAGGTAAAGTAGTTACAACTTTTTATAACAGGTCTACATTCACGACTGTTGTTCCAGCAGCATTTAAAGTTACCACCAAACACCTCAAGATTAACTCAGAGGTTTGATGCCCATATCCCGACAGGTAGAGTGGTTTTGGTAGGCCCTGGAAGTTAGTGGTTTAATTCTCTGACTGGTGTTTACAATGCATTCAAGCGTAGACTAGCTGTCCTTCTACTGCAGTTAATGTATCCACGAATCTGTTCACTGTACTATCAGCCGAACTGACTGAAGTCAAGGACGTCCAGTTTCACTGTCAGGCAAAACAAGCAAGCAAGTGCTGGCAAGTGTCTACCAGCTTACAAATCAGAAGAACCTTTTGACTTCATTGATTCATTTGATTCATTTACAAGTTGCTGCAGGTCCTCTGCTTTAGCCCAAATATCTAAGCCAGTTCTTACTGGAAGCACAACCCTTGATTGCGCAGTGTGAGCACTACAGTCTGCCAGTGTCCTGCACTGATATATGCACCACTCACTTCCACCTAACCATCTCTGGTAGCATCCAGTAAGTATGTCCTCCCAGGTCAGTCCAGCTGGGACACCAAATGGAATGAGGAGCTTAATTATTATTTATTCGCACACATTTATTCCTGATGGGAATTTCCCATTCTGCTCGCCATTACAGCTTCCACCATCTGTAGCTGCAGCCACTTAGTGTCCCGTAGTAAACATTTGATTCTTTTGGGAATTCAAAACTGTCCACACTAGTTGAGGATAGCAACCGAGAGGGGCTGCCGCTAGAATCCATCGTCGTAATCTCCATCACAGCCGTAATCTGGAGGGTGGGGGAGAAATAGAGGGTTTAGATACACTGAATGAAGAATGATGGCTTGGTGTTGAAATCTGCGGTACGCACTCTGAAAATCACATAAAATGTGTCAGTGGAGACAAGTTGGTAAGATTTTAATGAAGACATATAAAGGAACTTTATTTGGACCGTATATTTTGCATAACAACAGGGAATCCTTCCCTTCCTTTCTTATCCTAATGGCCTGGAGCCAAAATGGATTTCTGAGATGCAAGTAAATAAAATGTTCTCAGATCTCTGGGAAACTGCAGTCAGCTGGTGGTATCTCTAGTCAGAATGAAATGATTGAACTTCTGCAGCAGCCTCCGAGATGCACGCTCATCCATAAAGACTTCCTGGTGTGTGCCGAAGCTCTGCGAACAGCCAAGTTTTAATTTCTTCTACTGCTAATGCTACTCTTCCAGTGTGATCCGGCAACACTGCTCTGGCAAAAATACAACTTTTATGACAGTTTGAACTTTAACACTGAGGTTGCAACCTCATTTTTTGTCCAACCCATACAGATTAGAGACGTAAGTTTCAGCGTAAAAAGGTAAGTGGAAGTAAAAGATCAAGCAAAAGTTTGGTAACAAAAATTGCAGTTCCTCTAATGACCACTTGAGGCTGGCTCTAAAAGGAGGCATTCTCTAGTGACTTCTACATCAAAATGTAAAAATCAACATGTTTGAAGCCTGGAACGAAACCATTTTGGTTTCTGGTGTCATCTTCAGTGCATTCATTTGGCTCAACGTCCCCACGTTGAGCCCCCAGCCTCGTCCAGCTTCAGAGGCTGGACGAGGCTGACCCTGACCTTCTGGCCAAGAATAAACAAAGAGCCCCCCTACAGGAATCAATTAAATAGCTCAGGACTTTTTTTACTGCAGCAGAGTCAGACCTTAAGGTTTAACAGCCTGAGACATAAAGCGAAGAAATGTAATCTTACCGAGGGCTCATTAAAACGTGCCGGGAGTCCGAGCAGAAAGAGAGCCAAGACCCAGTGAGACAGATTCATTAAAAGAAAGGAAAAAAACGATTCCAACTGTTTCACAGTCCAGACACATTTAGTCTTACTGAGAAGTGACAAAGCAGTCTGCCACTCAAAGTGTCAACTAGAGTCAAACGTTAAGATGAGAAATTGCACTGAGGAATTCTCACTTCCATCAGCGTTTCATCATTTCCCTCCATGTTTACAGAGCCGCCTGGCTCCTGACTTTAATTCGCTTTTTATCAGTTCAGTGTGATTTCTCATCAAGTTATTCTCAACAATTAACCAAAAACATTTTTAATGTGAAAGTTATTGTTAGCATAGATGCAGCACAGGAAACTACACAAAGTGGTTAGAGGCATGCATCTTTATTGTGACGATGTGTTGACTTAAAACTAAAAAGCTGCAAAAAGTTACTCAGACGTAGTAAATGGAGACAACAGTAACTTAGTCATTTACTCAGACAATAGTTTTATGTGATTATAATCACTATTTCATGCCTGTGAGGTAACCAGACCTCCTTACTCCAGCCACCTGGGGTCTCCTCCCGGCTGGACGTGCCTGAAACACTTCCTCTAGGAAGCATCCAGGAGGCCTAAAGCACCTTAAATGCCTGATTTGATGCAGAGGAGGGCCAGCTCTACTCTGAGACCCTCTCGAGTGACCAAGCTCCTCCACCTATTGTTAAGGCCGAACCCCGACGGCCCGTGGGGAAAGCTCATTTCTGCCCTTTGTATTGACGATCTCATCATTCTGTCACTACCCAGCTCAGGCTATCGCCGAGGTTTTTCACTCACACCGCTTTACCTCAAAGTCCAGCAACAGCCTGTAAATCTCCGGCTCCTTTCTTCTGTCACTTGTGAATAAAACCCAGAGATACCTGAGCTCCTTAACATACTCAACGAACATATACTTAGACAAAAGCGATGTGGTACAGCATGGATTTGCTTTCATCAAGAAGTCAAATGAAATCATACTAATGCTCAAAAGATGAAACTGTTCAACCAGAAAGGTGTGCATGAAAATAAAATGTAGTTGGATTTGTTACTTTTGGATATTAAATAGGTTGTTTATGCAGAAAGCTGTATCCTCAGTCAGCCTACACATTTCAGTCAGAAGATAGCAGACAGGTTAAACCCACCATTGCTGCCCAGCATCTCCAAGGCACTGACACAAGTCTCGTCCTCCTCATCCTCTTCCTCATCACCGGGGACATCGTCATACACAACTGGCCCGCTCTCCACCACCACCCCGCTGGCAGGGGCTTCAACGGGCAGCGGCAGGGGGTTGGAGCTGCCGATCTGTACAAACAGGAAATATTGTTGCTTGTGAGCAGACATGCATCGTTGAGTATTTTTAATATTTTCCTCGGCAGGACACAAGTTTGCCCTCGGGAAATCTAAGCCAGATCTGATCTCGTATGCCCCACTTCCTTTAAAATGAAAAAATAACAAACAGTGTAGTATCTGTGATGGTGTGGAGGTGTGGAGCTGTAGGGCAGGTGGAGGGTACGCGCCGTGGTGAGAGGTTTCATTTGCCGCACTTCTCCACATATGACTAAATACAGCATCGGAGCGCGACCACAACCTTATCTTACAACAAGTTATTACCTCATTTTAGATTCTGCCTTTTTTTTTTTTTTTAAATCTGCATAGTCTACACTGCACTCGGTATCATATGAAAGGATGAGAAATTAATCAGAGCCTCGGGGTAAAAACACCCTTCAAAGTTCATAAAAAAACAGAAGCCTGTGAAATTAAAAGTGAAGGGCTAAGGGTGAGCATGAGGGACAAAAATGTAATTAGAGTGCCCTTTCTTTTTTTTTCCACTGCTTTTCACATTGTCTGGGTTGAGCTGTCACATGTTTTGTGCATAGATGTGATATATTCCCCTCGAGGGCAACTGCAGGTGACTCTGAACCGGCAGAGTCTTTCCAGTCGCACGCTGGGAGACAAAAACAGAGTTGTTTTTGATCAGAAATCAACCCACCTGAAACTGCAGGAAATGTAGGCAGCGTGACGGCAGCAGCAGGAGAAAGTAAACAAGTGGTATAGGTGGAAAAAAAAGGACTCTGTGGAAGGAAAGGACTCTGAGGGGACCATTTTCCAGGTGTGGAATCGATGATGAAACAAATGTCAGCAGTACAAATGTAGAGCTGTCTGCCTTTATGACCCATCAAGCAACCCCACTCAAAAAAAGGAAAACGAATCAAACCAGAGATTAAATATGTATAAACTGTAAACTGCACTCAGCACTCCCTGACAGCAGCGGTCTCCTCCAGCAGAACAAACACTACTCAAGGTTAACCCAAGTAACACTGGGAAAAAGCCACCAGATCCTACTTCCAAGCATTCGTGGAATGCTCTAGAATAGCGGTGTCAAACCTAAGGTCTGTGGGCCAAAATTGTCCCTAAAAGGTTCCAATATGGCCCACTGGATGAAAGTGGGCACATTTTGGACTTCTAAGTTTGTTGTCATGTAAAATGAATTTGACATTCCTGCTCAAGATCAAGTCCCCACCTCTCAATGCAAAGGAGCCATTCTGCTGCCAACATTGTCCTGCTATACTGGGATGCAGACACGCCCAGAGGTATGACAGGGAGCTGCACAGTGTTAGGCAGGTAATGGTTGATCAGTGCATTTATGGAGAATGGCTGTTATTGATTTTTGCTTTTTGTGCATGAGGCAAGAGTTAAAAAACAACTTTTTAAGCTTCCTGTTGTAGCTGGATAAGCAGAACTGCAGAGTATGGTGGCTTTTCAAGCTTCAACAAGCAGCACTTGCAAACAGATGAAACTCAAGCAAAACCAACCAAACTGAAAACAAAGCTGCAGCATTTAGGAAAATAAGAAAAGTTACGAGCAGAAAACACAACTGGATATTAAAACGTGCTGACCACGGTCCAGCAGGGGAACCTCTGCTTCGTCCATCCAGGCCTAATAAGCCACCAACCACTGGAAGTTAAGTGATGACTTGGTCCAGATGTTTGGTATACAGCTTCATGTCGCTGATGTCAGTGTGTCAAAATGACCCTACGGTAGTAGAAACAAATTAAACTCCGGTACACATAGTACGCTCCGTGTCGATATATTCAACCCTGTAAGACAAAGAAAATTTCCCCTTGGAAAACACTGGAGTACCTCCAGTCTCATTCTGAACAATCACATCTTCACTCCAATCTGAGTTTTATTTATTTTGCTTAGTGATGAAAAGTACAGATATCAAACAGACTATTGCACCAGGGAGGCCAGATGTGCATGGGTATTATACTTTTTTCTGCTTTCCAGCCTGCCATAAGCTAGACAATAATACAACGTCTAAACTCAAGTCTCGCTTTTTTGCTGCAAATGTCTTTAAAAAAAAAAAAAAAAATGTTGTTTAGAGGGAACTCATGCAGTTGTATAACTGCAGCTACAAGGGAACCTACACATTATTGCCTTCCTTTGAGCCAGGGCTAATTATAAAGCTGGAGCAGAGGCCGGCGGAGGGTCCACAGTGTGACGGAGAGATATTTCTTTTCTCCTCAGCTAAAACCTGTAGGAGTTCCTGCTGGGCCTTTCATTCCTGCCTTCTTTCTCCCCCTTCAATTTTCATTTCCTCCTCCATCCTTCCTTGCTTTCCTCCCACCTTTCTTTTATTTCACATCTCGTCTGTTTTGCTTCATTTAAAATAATAATAATAATTCTACCCACATCCTTTCTCGCTTTTTCCATCTCTCCGATTGTTCCTTTATGCACTGCTTCTTCTCTTGGCTTAGACTTGTGCTTTTTCCATCCTCAGATTTGGATAAATACCAAATGATTGTACAATAAATTAAAAAATAAATAAATCCAGTGCAAAAACATTCTGCTATCCCTTCCTTTCCCTTCTCTGCTTCTCTTTTGTTTCCTCTTATTCCTCACAGTGGAAACCAGCTGGCTTTAACCTCACCAGCTCATTAGCTGCCGCTGAACAGCAGTCATAATGTGGGGGAAATAAAAAAATAATTAAAAAGAAAACATAACGACATAAAAACTGTGCTCCAGACTAATTAGGAGGTGAGAGCTGTTAAATGGGTCAGGATGAGAGGAGAGGAAGCTGTGGCGAGGGACAGACACGGAGTTTCTTTGTGTTGGTGTGAACTATTCAGCACTGCTGCTCATAATTACACAGAGATAATGTTCCACTACAAATATCATGTTGCATGTTCAAAGCAAGCTCTCCAGCGGTCGAATATCTACTATTTTAGCTTACTTTAAGCTTCAGCCCTCTAACAAGGGAATTGGTTGTTAGGAGCGAGAAAGCAACCGGGGAATACGAGCGCTCAGAAGGTTTTATTGGTGTGAAGATGTAGACATCTGATAGCCTGGAGTTACTCATGCACAAGACAGCAGGGGAAAAAAAGAGTTAAAGGGAACAAACCACAGTGTGGAATAAGAGTTCTGGATAATGACAGCCACTACATCTACACCCCCGTTTCCAAAATAGTAGCAAAGCTTTCTAAAAAGTAACTAAAAATTAATTCCATGACTTGCAAATTCTGTAACTGAATTTAATCAAGTTGCAGACATTTAGTCAGAGCTATTTAATTATTTTTAGAAAAATGGACACATTTCAAAGTTGGGGCGGGACCACAAAGAAAGAAAGAGAAGGAAAAAGCTGTGCAATGCTGAGAACAGATGGAGAAAACATGGAACATCTTACGAATAATTCCACCAATTAGTAACATGCTTGCATTTAAAAAGAGCGTTTGAGACACGCTCAGTTGTTCTGAAGTAAAGAAGGGCAGGAGTTTACCGCTCCTTGATGAACTGCATGTGCAGATTCTTCAGATTATTATTGTACAATCAATTTGCAGATTTCATCATTAACAGATTCCAAGATTCTAGAGAAATTCATGTATGCAAGGAACAAAACAAAAAAACATTCCTTGGTCCAGCCATGGACAATGGATACAATCATGACTTTGTAGTGGAAATCACTTCATGTGTGGAGTGGACTGAGGTCTATATAAATGTGAAACTTTTAACGATACTTAGTTCAAAAGTTACCTCGTATTAATGCTTGTTTTTGTGTAAAGGTGCATTAGTGCACATGACATGGAGAATGTGTAACACTACACTGATCAGGCCTAACATTATGACCAGCTGCCTAATAATGTGTTGGTCCTGGTCTGCAGCTATGCAGCCCCACATACAACAAACTGCAATCCACTCTGTATTCTGACGACTTCCTGTCACTACCAGCATTAACGTTATTGGTAATTTGAGCTACAGTGGCTCATCAGCTGGATCGGATCACACAGCAAGATCCTACAAACAATCAGTCGCTCAACAATCAAAACTTTATAATTGTTTGTTAGACAGAGTATCCTGGTTAATGACATTTAATAGACCACTTAAATTTGTTTGCATTATTAGCATCCATGTGTGAATTAGTGTGGATGGGTAAAGGAACGGTAAATGGACGGATACTTTTATAGTCCTATTTACTCTAACTGAGCACTTAAAGCTCTTTTTACTACAAGTCTCATTCACCCAATCAAATTGGGGTTCACTGTCATGCCCAAAGATACTTCAACATACAGACTGAAGTAACCATTGATCTTCTCATTGGTAGACAGCTCGCTCTGAGCCACAACCATGCCGATCAAGCAGAGGTTTTGCATATTTTCATCTTTCTGCATCAATTTTATCACAGTAAAGGTGTTTTCCTGGGGTGAGGGAGCAGGTCGCTGTGTTTCTGCAGGACGAGCTAAAATTGGTGCACATCATGAACTTTATCGCTGTCCGGAAAGCTTCATTGAGAATACTTCAAATACATTCGGCCATCACTTGCCAAAATTATTGCTTGCATAAGCAGGCTATATCTGCAACACCAGCGAGGCTGTGCACAGCTCAAAGCCCTTCCTCCTGTGACCTCATCACCCTTTTGAGATTTCTAAGCTTCTTTGAAAATCCCCACATCTCTTAACTGCGCTGCCTTCTGCCTCCTCCAGCCTGATGCTCAGCCTAAACATGAGTAGACAAATAGGGGAAAGGGCAGAGAAGAACAGCTGCGCCAGTTTCAAGTTCTCTGTAGTAAACTGATCATTTCCTCCATCGACTGGCTTTAAAAAAAGGAAAAACTGTGCAGACTAATTGCTGGGTCGCTGGAGAGGGTGATGGAAATTGGTTACTGTAAGGCAATGAACAGAAACAGAACAGGATGGCAAGTAGAGCTCAAAGAACACATCGCTTTTCAATCTGGCCCTGTTGCTGGAATCAAATGCCAACATTACATAACATGAGCTGCGAGCTATGAGCAGCCGCAGCCAATGGCGACGGCCGTTTGCTTCCAGTTCCCAAGGGAAGGTGAGGGGGGGTTGCTAAGTAACAAGCCTTGTTGACCCAGCCCCTTGTGGCAATGTTTTCTTCCTAGCTGACAGAGCCTGAGCTCCCTGAGCTACTCTATTCAGGGCTGCCAGCAGCACATGATGGAGAGAGAGACAAAGGCTGTGAGGAGGAGAGGAGAGGGGGGAGACGAAGGGATTGGAAGGAATGTGGAGGAAAGAGAGGAAATATGAAAAGAAGAGCGATGGGAAAAAAAGAGGACAGCAGCAGAGTGAGGCAATAACGGGAAGAGATGAGGAAAGAGAAAGCAGGCAGAGATTTGCAGGACTCGGGGGGGGGGGGGGAAGAAAAGTTGGGAGATTTTAAAAAGCAGATGATTCGCTGGCATGTTTTTCACCAAGTTTTAGCGGCAACTTACAGTTTCAGTGATATCGTTAATTCCCCTCAACTTAGTTGTTTTTAACATCATTAACACCACAAGAGCCACAAATATGACAAATTCCCTCGAAAGCTTTTTGTTTTGTTTTTTTCCCCACATTAAATAACTTCACTTTATTTCTATAAAGTCTTCAAATATGGGACACAAACCAGCATGCACTCTCTCAACAGCATGTGTGACTGTGTTTACTGCTGGTTTCTTAACAGAAGTGTTTTATTTAACATCAATCTCAATAACATGTTTGTTAAATAATCTTAAAAGTTGGACAAAAATAATAACAGTGTTTCTTTTTTTCAGCCAAAAATATTGCAGAGCTTTTTATACAGTTACAAGTATTTGACCCCCTGCTGAATTTATAAGTTTGCTCACTTCCAAACAAATGAACAGTTTCTAGCTTTGATTGTAGTTTTATGTTAATGGACACAGAATATCAACCAAAAAATAAATTAAAAAATACAAAACACACATTACATAACAGTTACAAAGTGATTTGCGTGACTTTGAGTGAAATACGTGAATACCAGGAAGAATTCTGACACTACCATGTGACGACTACCATCTATCAATTAATGATACTCCTGATCTCAGCTCGTTGCATGTATAAAGCACACTTGTCCAAAGGAACAGTTTATCCATCCCAGTTCCATCCCAAAAGGACGTCAGGGACAAGATCGTCGGCCTGCACGATGCCTGAACGGCATGGAAATGGAAGAAATATAAAAATGACCATCAGCCCCCCTCGCTCTGGAGCTCCATGCATGATCTTGATGTGAGGATGATCATGAGAAAGGTGGTGGATCAGCACAGAACTACACGGTTGGAGCTTGTTAATGACCTGAAGCCAGTTGGGACCACAGTCACTAAGAACACCACTGGTAACACACACTGCTAAGTGTACAGGATGGCTGCACCGCATAGATTGGCCAAGGCGCGGGGCCACGTACCATAAAGTCTTGAATGAGAGCCACCTTCCCTCAGCCAGAACACTGAAGATGGGTCATGGACGGGTCTTCCAGCATGACGATGACCCAAAATATAATGCCAAGGCAACAAAGAAGTGGCTAAAGAAGCACATTAAGGTTATGGAGTGGCCTAGCATGTCTCCAGACTCGGTACTATAGATAATCTGTGGAGGGAGCTGAAACTTTGATGTGGCAAGCAAGGGTTTCTCCAACAAGTGCCAAGTCAGTTCCTATGAGCTCATTAACTCACTACTTAAATTCTGATGTGGGTCAGTCTTTGGTGTTAAATCCCAACAACACTGTGGATCTTCTAACCCGGGATATTCCTCGGCAATTACCAATCATCAACAGTTCTGCTACTCACAGGCCACAGCAAGGAGTGAGGAGATGGAACTGCCAGGAGCCGAGACGCGCTGCTCTAAAACCAGGTATTTTCTAATGGAGGAGCTCACATTTTATACTTATGATTCCACTGACAGAATTTCTCATCCACATAATCCTGTAAATGGTCCGACTGTCAGTCAGCTGATCTCAACTATAAAAAATAAAAAAAACCTGACATTTTTACTTCCCAAACCCTGCACGTCAAGTCAAACTCCTGCTGCTTCTCTACAGAGTGGTTAAAAAAGAGAAACACGGAAAAAGCTGCAAAAAGAGAGAAATAAATTATATAAGAAATGAGAATGACAAGGGATTAAAAGACTGTTAGGGAAGTGTAAAATGAGATATGGAAAAAAGTAAGGAAGAAGAAGTCAAGAAAGCTCAATTTAAGACTTTGAAACTAGTAACGCTACCCTCGACTGAAATGAAGTCCAATTTAAATCAAATTAAAAATCAAAGCAGAAGAGACTGCCCCATTTCTGAATGGAAAGCTATGAAGCTATAAATGGTCAGAACGAGGACATTTGGAAACTAACTGTTCAAAGCCAAGAAGTCTAACTAGGTTTAGTAAAGGAGATAAGACACATTAGCGAAAGTAAACTCCTTCTGTGTGGACTGATTGGAAACTGGCCAACAAAAGCCTACTGTATCACTGCAGTGTGATAAAAAAAATAAAATACCCCTGAAGCTGCTGTTTAACACATTTTTATGTTCAAGTTTAAGGCTATATTTATTTTAAGAGTCTGTCAAAAAATTTTTTTAGAAGCAGTCAATGCCCGGGAGAAAGAAAGAGTGAAGGAGGAGTAATATAGCAAGGCCAAACAAAGACACAGAGCGGTTCACCTCTCACACGGCCCGAGAGGAGATTTATTTATTGCTGCCTGCTCTGCAGAAATCAGCAATCAGCTTTTATTGGCTGAGCAGGAGAGCTTGACACAGACTTACAATATGTCTGCTACAGTCAAAGGTTCATGGTAGTTTGGTTATTGTCAAACAAACATAAAAAGACCAAAATCAACAATAAATGTATCCAACCACCAACAACTGCGTGGCTATGTGAAGCCTAATTTATATCACTCCTCTGAGTAATTCAGGCTCTCTGCAGATTTACATTGTATTCTGTGTCACAGTGCATCTGCATCTTAATATGCACTGCTCAAACAAAAGCCAAAAAGAACAAGAACCAGATATCTATACTGATATGAACTGGGTAATGTGTTAGGAACACAAGGACGCCATGTCGTTTGATGGAAATGAAAACGATAAACCCACAGAGGACTGATTTCAAAATAAACTAGTCAAGCTAGTCCATTTTGACGATATAGTACTCGATATTCTGCTTGGCTCCCACATGCTTGTATGCATGGCTGACAACATCGGGGCATCCTCCTAATGACATGAGGAGTCCAGAGCATCCCTGAGCTCCTGGACACTCTGAGGGGTAACCTGGCAGCATCGGATGGAGCAAAACATAATGTCTATTGGGTTGAGTTGCGTTTCTATTGGTCAGGTGACTACCTAATGGCAGTCAGGGTTCTGTTGCCTAGTTTATAGAGGTTATGTGCCCCCTTAGGATATGCCTGTCACCAAAGCCATCACCAAAACAGTCATGCTGAACAATGTTACAGACAACATAACTGTCGCTATGGCTTCTTCAGACCCCTTCACATGTCTGTCACATGTTTAGGGTGAACTTGCTGTCACCTGTTAAAAAAGAACAGATGGTAGACCTGCCAGTTCTGGTATTCTATGGCAAATGCAAATCAGGCACCGCGGTGCTGAGCAGTGAGCACAGAGCCAACTAGAGCAGGGGTCTCCAACTCAGTCCTTGAGCGCTACGGTCCTACAGCTTTTAGATGCACCCCCACTGCAACACAGCTGAATCAAATGAAAAGCAGCTCTCGAGGACTGGAGTTGGAGACCCCTGCACTAGAGGTTGTACCGTTGGGCCCTCAGGCCACCTTCATGAAGTCTGTTCGGTCAGAGACACTCACACCAGTGACCTGCTAGAGGTCATTTTGTAGCTCCCAGTGCTGATGCAAGCTGCTGATGGGTTAAAGGCCTTCTATGGCCCTGTCCAGCTCTCCTAGAGTAACTGCCTGTCTCCTGGAATCTAAGCCATGCTCTTCAGACTGTGCTGGGAGACAGAGTAAAACTTCTGAAAATGTCACTTATTAATGTGCCATCATGGAGAAGTTGGACTACCTGTGGAACCTCTGTAGGGTCCAGGTATTGTCTAATGTTACCAGCAGTGACACTGACTCGAGCCAAATGCAAAACAAGTCAGAAAAGATCAGGAAGGAAAAACGTCAGTGGCCTCCACCCTTAAAACCATTCCTGTTTGTCTCTTCGTTGCTCCTCTAGTGCACCTGCTGTTAATGTCATTAAAACTAAAGCAGTTAAAACCAATCAACAACCCCTCTGCTACTTAAATGACCAGATTTTTTCATCCTCACAAGCTATGGTGATCACCTTGAATACACAAATAAGGACCAGACCTTCTGCTTCACTGAGGTTAGTGACACATTTATAAATAATCACTTATCATTATATGTAATAGGAAATTCAATTGAGAAACCAATTATGACAAACCATGTGAAAGAAGCAGGATAAATCCAGGTACTTTCTCATTCTACATCAGAAATTCAATTTGTTATAAAGCTTTCCTGCTCACTGATTTGCAGCATCACCCACAGTGCAGTACAACTCAGAGGTATTCATTTGGCAGCAGTGGTTGTCGTCCCCCCACCCTCTGAAAAAATGTTAAAAATTGCTCAATGTTAAGTTGCAAGCCTTATTATTGCCTAACCCGCTTCCCTGTTGGTTCACATAGACTTCACAGGAAAAGCATTTTTTTATGAAGTAAAGCAGTGATGACAAGACTGGACCATCAATGTGGTTACTTCATCCACTTTCACTGTAAGGAATATCAAGGCTGCTCTTCCCCTTGAAAATACTCTTATTCACACAGCACAGTCAAAATACAGTGAAGCAAAGGAAGACTGAACCTGAGTGAGTGTGTTAAAGCAAACGTGAGAAGTTAACCGACTGATCGACATGGTGACTGAGGTGTCGTGCATTTTAGGAGCAGCGGGGCAGCGAGGGTTGTAGTGCACAAGAGTGTCGGAGAGGAAGAGCAGATGCAGTGAAGATGAATGGAAGCTTACCTGCTCCGTGGCCAGCTTTTTGTTGGGCTGTCCGCTGATGAATGGCTGTAGCCTGCAACACAGACAGCAACATCATCACACTTAGCCTTCTTTATTTTCTTTAGCTCATTTGTTTTATTACTGTTTAACATAAGTCCTACTAATCATAGTAAGGCAGAGGAGCTAGCTTGTATTTGACACATTGCTAACATCAAACTCAAACATGAAACATTTTCTATGTATTCTAGGTTCTTTTGTGAATAAAATCGGGTTAATGATATTTGCGGTTTCACAGCATCCCAGCTTCTTTTGGAACTGGGTTGTAAACGTGCTTCTTAAGTGGAATCATTGACTATCTCCTTGGTGTTGTAACTAGATTATTTGATGTTATATGGCACCCCATAAACAGCAGCTTCCACAACAACCAAACCAACCAACACATCTGGACTTCGTTCACACAGTCTGTGTGTGCAACCAGCAATATTCATCAGTACTGGACAAACACTGTCCCTGTAGGTCTTTACCTTACAATATAAAGTGCCTTAAAGTGACTGTTGTTGCGATTTAGTGCTTTATAAATAAAACTGAAATGAACTGAACAGTCCTACAGTGAAGCAAACATATTGCCTACAAAGGTTATAGACTAATGGGCTCCCCTTTGTTTTAACAGTGCTGAACAGCAAACACTGAAATGACATAAAATACTTGAAATTAACCTTGATTTTTAACAGCGGCTGGGCTTTATGACCTTGAAGTTGCACGACTGTAGAAAATGAGTTCCATTACTCAAACTGAAGCACAATCTGAAATGCCAGTGAGTCTACAAGAGGATTAAATGTGCGGATTTTATGAACCCCTAAAAGCCTGAAAGTAAGATATTCATTATTTTTCCAGACATTAGAAGATAATAAAATCTTCTATTCTGAGGCCAGTTCAGATTACATTTCACTGTTAACCTCAGCAGCGAGGACACCGCCTGCCTGCTTCTGCTCAGCTTCGTTTCTTTCTTCCACCGCATTCGTGTCCTCTCTCTTTGTCCCTGATTGGCTAACAGATTCACATACCCGTTTCTCTTCAGTAAGCTCATGTTAGCAAGGTGTTACCTAAACATACCCAGTATAGTAACATTTTCCCACAAGTACAAGCTAGTGGTGAAGGGATTCGGTGTTGTTGTTGTTGTTGACATTTTACAGTTTAAGCCAATGTGCTGGAGAGCATGTAAAAGCACACTGCTAGCATGACTAATAATAAAGGACCTCCTTTGTGCTCCACTAAATAATCAGGACTTTTACAGTCAATTTAAGCAGAACAGGAACAAGGGAAATCGAGCTATCACAGCAGCCTTCTGGGGATGAAATAATGGCTGATATAATCATTAATAAAAATTGTAATGACAATAGCTCCTGCTGATACCAGTTCCTGCTCATTGTTGCCATTTGGACAGATGGGACGGCAGAACATTGCTGTATGTCGGATGGCTCTTTGCAACCACTCTTACAGAAAAAAAAAGCACATTTTATTTGTACTTGACGCTGATGCAGCATTTAACTCTTGACACAACACAGGTAGAGCATTGTCTTATCTTAGTGCAGCTGGTCTCTGTTGGCTTCAGGCGACTAGCTCACATTTCTAGGCAACTGCAATAAAAAAAAGAAAAAAGAAAAAAGAAAAAAAAATGGTGTGAATGAGAAATGAGCCCAAACTGTGAGTGACAGGCAGAGCGACTGTCTGTCTCTGTGAGTGCAATCTCTTCCTAGACAGTCGCGGAGATAATCAGCAATGAACGCACCACTGGCAGTAATTCCTAAGCAGCCGTCCCACCACCCCACTGGCTGGAATTAGCATTGTTCCCGAGGCTCCCCACCCCCATTTTCTGCCCACCCGGCCCGGCGCTGAGCTCTCCCTAGAGGCTTACAGTAAAGTGCTCAAATCTCACTGATAAGACGCAGAGCGCGAGTGAGCTTTTAATTAATCTGCTTTAACCGGGGGGAAAGGGGAGGAGGGGTAAAAGTGAATGTGGCATCTTCACCCCCCAACATCATCATTCCCCCCACCTCCTCCTTTCTCAAAGCTCATTATAAAATCCCAGCCAGGCCGGCGAAATGCTCCCCGCTGAGAGAACTATTTAGGGCCCCGTATATGTGCTAGACAAGACTGGCTCCCATGAGCCCTGACCTGGACACTGTGGAAAGAGGGAGGGACGGTGGAACCATGAGAGGAAGGGATGTCGTTAGGCAACAGGCAGTGGAAGGGGGCAAAAGGGTGAGAAGAAGAAGAAGGGATAGAGGGCAAAACAGCACGGGAGCGAATGAGGAAAAAGATTGGGTGAGGGCATGGGGAGGCATGGAGGGGGAACGCGGGGGAAGCCTGAAGAGAAGGAAGGTGCTTGGATTAAGAGAACAAAGGAAAACAATATTAAAGAATAAGATCAGCTAATAGCAGAAAGAGAAAAGCAGAAAGGAAGAAAAGAGCGCACAGAAATATCAGAATGGGAAGAAGAAGAAAAAACTGAGACTCAGGAGTGTTGACTGATTATTCCAAGGTTGTTCCTCACAGAACTAAGGCAGTAGTTCCTCCAGATAAACAGTCTTAATTAGCTAACCTTTGTTGTGTTGTGCTGCTAAGTGAAACCAAACACAAATTAGCTGAATCAGCTGCAACAGTTCTACATAATGGAGTTTAATTCTACGTAGCAGCCAGTCGTGGTGCATTCGTAGCTAGTGTGCCAGCTGTTTGAAGACGAGTGTGTCGTTCTTTTCAGCAGGTTTCTCAGTCGCTCATAATCACATTTGGAAGATATGCTGTGCATACTGATAGGAAAAAGGAAAAGGAGTGAAAGGTGTGAACATTTTACCTTTGGTAATAAATTTGTAAACTAAGACAATGACAAATGTTTCCCTGCTTTAAAGCCATTGTGAGTGAGTGAATGAATAAGTCAGGGTGTTAACGGGGTAACACCCTGGGGATGTTTGTCAGTGTTTTGACATTTTACATAACACATGGAATACCTTTTCATGAGCTTGATATTTTTGCAAATAGGAAAAAAAATCTAATTTTAAATCGGTGCTCTGGCTGACATCAAACCACTTCCTGTAATTGCAACAGTTAGAGCGACTGATAGCAAGTGGGGTCAAAGGTTAGAGTCACAGGGCTATGAGAACACCAATGCTCCTCGAATGAACAGATAAAGACAATTTAACTGAGGTCAATGAAGGTTAAAAGAGTCGAGTAAGTGCTGTGGAAACAGCAGTTTTAACCTCTCCAGCGCTGATACCGCTCTCAGCTCTTCCACCACTTTGACTGAGACTAAAATATCTTGTCAGTGGTTGATAGACCACCATGAAATTTATAAAGAAAACCATGTTACCCCAAGAGGCTGTCAACTTGAAACATCTCCGCAGCGTTAAGACTGATTGTCACGACATGTGCTGTCAAAAAACCCCAAAGACAACACAAAGACCAAAAGCAAGATTCCCCATCAGCTGTACTTAGACTTAGTGTTTGATAATCGCCAAATGATAGAACATCCAAATATTAAACTATGATCCCAGGAAAAAAAAAACAGATGTGACACTGCATCTCTGATGTAGTTTTGCATACAACTAATTTAAAATTAACACTCCAAAAACCAGAGGCTTTGATTTTGGAGCTGTAAAAATAAGTCAGTATGATAATAACTTGTGTGTTATGTAGAGTAAATATTATGTTATCAGAAATAAAAGTATGTATATTGTTCTTAATGTTTATATCAATGAAGAATCTGGATAAATATTAACTGATAAGTTAATAAGCAGTTCTTCCCACTCATTTTAGACACGTAGGCTGTCTCAGGACAGGGTTAGTGAAATTGGAGTGTAGTTTTCTTTATTTTTTATAGCAGTTTTATCATTTTTCCCTAAATGACTTTGCATGCTATCTGCATAAGCAAAATAAATTTGTCCAGGTCACTTTTTTGAGTTATGACATTATTTATTTCAGCATTATGGGCTCACTTATTTCTTAAAATAGCTTATTTTAATGATCCTGTATTTGTCTTTTTTAGGATATAATAAAACACATTTTGGAAATGATACCTCTGCCTGTATGTCTTTGGGTACATTTAAAAAGTAGTACTGTGCAATACTACAAGTTCTACTATTGGTTTGGGCGACTGATAACAATACTTGCTAATGTAGGGGAGAGCAGTGTGTCATGACTTTGCAAATTCTGAACACATTTTAATAAAATACATTTATAATATAGTTTATAATCAGTGTTATGCAAGTTACTTTGAAAAAGTAATTAGTTATAGTTACTAGTTACTTCTTCAAAAAAGTAACTGAGTTAGTAACTGAGTTAATATTCTAAAAGTCTACTCAAAAAGTAACTATTGTGTTACTTTAAAGAAAGGTTTAACCCTCTGGGGTCCGGGGTATAATTGGCCATTTTTAACTACTTTTGATGTTTCCTCTACATTTCACCTTTAAAAACAGTTTATTTGCTTTGTTTGGTATCATCCTTTTCAGCACAACCTCATGTGTCTGAATTTACAGTCATGTTTTCATTTTGACATACTGTATTAACACAATTGAGCTAAAATCACACAAAAAACAAAATCAGAGTAGAAAAAGTTATATTTTTTACTGTAACAACCACTAAACATGTTTAATGAATCATATTTCATAAGTTTAAATGCAAATATAAATGGTCAATTTTAAAATCCTGTGCACAAGTTTTGCAAACGACAAAGTTATTTGTATCCATTTACCTTTTACCTTGATTTTTTTTAATAACCATTTCAAACTATTCACAGAACAATCAGCTGTTCTTTATTCAATAAGATGCCACACAAATTATTTGTGCCACTCCAAACAATAATTTCTGTCCACTATAAAGGAGAACATCACAGCCTGATACCTGCAGGTCTGACAGCAGCAGGTGTATCACTCCTGTTTCTACCTGGAGACAGCAGTCGCCTCATTGTTCTGACACACAACACAAAACTATCCACAACACTACACACTAACTACACAAGACAACACATTAACTACACACTCCAAACACGCTAAACGTCACAAATCTCTCACATCTCAA